GAACCTATGTTTAAAATGGTTAGGTTAGTACTAAATAAATATTCAACTAAAACTTTACCTCGTTCATTTGGTTTTTCCATTCCCCAAAGGGGATGATGTGCGTTGGAGTCCGTCCCGATCACAACCTCTAGTCCGGTCCTCTCGCAGAAGTTCACCAGCCTGCTGAGGTCATGAGGGGGAGGAGTGTCTTCCTCCGGCATGTAGACCGGGGCGACGACTAATCTACTCTCCTGTGTGTACTGTATTGCTACGGCATACATGTCTCTAGAACAGAAATCTGTTAAAGGTTGTGCACAGATATCTTTAGTAGTGTAAATACACCCTCTAGGCTTGTCGTGTTCAGAGCTGTAGAATAACTTACCTTTTAGGTTGTTTAGGCCTTTAATTTTACCAGCCCCAACCCATGGCTCCTGGATTAAGGCTATGGCAGTCCTTTGAACCTCCAACCACTTGCGTAATTGAGCCGACGCAGTTTCGCTGTGGTGGAGGTTGGCCTGCACTAGGCTAGTTTTGGACGAAGGGCACGCCATCATTGATCGCGTCCTCCCCGTCCCCGCCCAAAAATAGGCCTGCCAGAAGATCTCGGGCTTCATCGTCAGCCACCGAGTCGGAGGTGGTCGGCAAAATGCAGTCCTCCTCGTCACTCAGTGAGCTGCCGCTGAGCCCAATCTCCACTGGGGGCTTCGGCTCAATTGTGCAGGCCGTTTCTTCACTGGACTTGGCCTCCAGTGATTCCGCTGTACCGGTAACTATGGCTCCGGTATCCATAACTTCCGGGTTGTTTTCTACCTCTTTACTCGGTGGAGTATCAAAGAATTTGCCTCCACGACCCTGGAATTTTACGTATACCGCCCCGCATACACATGCGAGACGGCGTCCGGCCTTCATCAGGGTCGGGATATGATCCTCCGGCACCGAAACAACGAGGAACCACCCGTCCGTCTGCTTATCTGCCTTGAGTAACAGCCAGTCCCTGATGTTAACCCAGCGGTTCTGGTACGCCAACACGCGACCAATGTCGCGTGAGTCTTTCCAGGCCCCCTGGGCATCAGGGATAAGGATACCACATTTGACTCTTTGTGGTATCTCTGACTGTTTCTTTATTGTCAGCAAGGTGCTGGATTTAAGGTCGAGGGTAGCAATGTTCCCCTTCAACCAGTCCAGAGCCTTCTGATCGTCGCACCACAGTTTCAGGACACCTTCCGTATAAACGGGTTTGCCCCTAAAAACTGGGCCCGACGCATCAGGGTCCTGGCTACTCCAGGCCTCGCTGATCATCTTCCTCTGTATTGCTACGAGGATGTCGTCTGCTACTTCCTTCGTAATGTGACCTGAACGCGCACACGTTAAGGCCACACCCAAATCTGCTTTAGCAGCGGAAGCGTAGCTCGTTCTTGCAGTCTTTGGTTGCTGTTCGAGTCGCACTTTTTTGTGTTCACCTCTAGGCGAGGTGGACTCTTCCAGCATCCTTTTGGCTGCTCTTTCCTTCTTCCCAGGACGCTTGGCCGCTCGCTGCTTCCTGGCGGATATCCTAGAGCTGGTTCCCGCGTCCGCGACTTCCACTTGGGCTGGATTTTTATCCTTCCCAGCTTCAGCGCGGCTACTGGTTCCAGCGCCAAGCACCCCAGTCGCAGTAGCTTGCCCAGCCTCCTTGGTTTTGGTATCTGAAGCAGCCAATGCGGCTCGTTCTCTACGGCCTTTTTCCCGCTGCTTCTTGTTCTTCTTTTTGGCCTTTCCACTACTGCCTGCAGGGATAGACCCTCCTGATGGTCCGTCAGGTCGGCAAGTCACCTTTTTGGGTGCCTTGCCTTTCCCCTTACGGCTCACCACTTGCCAGGCAGCAGAGAAAAGGTCGTCAGTCCGTAGTGGCTCCGCAGTTTTATCACTTGCGGGCTCTTGTTTCTTTTTCTCTTCCAGCTCCTTGGAACTGGTTTTGGAAACGTTCAGCGAGGTTATCCCTTTGGTGGGGGCACCTACGCTTGACGGTACTGTCCGTGGAACCGTCGGTTTAGTGACGGTTCCCTTTTGTTCTTTGGTGTCTCTGGTAAGCACCTCTGACACCTCTCCCTCTTTCTTATTGGGCCTTAAATTGTCCATAATTTGTGTTTTTTAAAATTCATCCTCCCGGCTTCCCACCCTCCATGGAGCCCGCACCTTTGGGAACGCCCTACTTTAGAAGCAAAAGGAATTTCAGGCGTTAGGATTACCGGGAGAATATAGGGACGCGAAGTTGGCTCACAGCGCGACATCGGGAGCTCGATCCAGCTGGTAGATGGGGCTGACAAGGCCCATCCCCACCACCCGAATAAACTGTCACTTGCTCCGTCAGCATGGCCTTTACCACCACCCAGCCCCCTTTTCAGGAAGACTAGGCAGCCCCCACATCCCTCGCCTGCGACCCTCTGACGGGGCGCTTGGCCATTTCCCTATCTGTGGCTAGCAGATAGGGCCACCGTTTAGCTTGAAATCCGGACCAAAGAGGGCGTGTTGCCTCTCGCCACTATATACCCCAGCGACGATCGGCTCAACCCTCCAGGACTCCTTCATCCCCGCGTACGGCGCTCGACTGCGCAGGTCCTAGCGCAGGTGGGTGTGTTAGTCCACCGGATACACCCACTCCCTCCGGCGGATTCGTCCCCTCCTCCTTTCTCATCCGGGCTTGGGACCGGCAACGGCGGAGTTTTTGATGAGTTTATTTAATGGTGGAAATAAATCTGCAAATGAGGTTCAAAATATTGATGTTCCTGCAGAAAAACAGGCATGGTTGGCATCACCAGCAGTTGGTTAATCTGCCAATAATTGTAGCAATGTCCAAGCGCTCTTATCAAATATATTATTGAGTAGTGATGATTATGATAATAATACATCCGACGAACATGCAGTTTTGGACAATTCTTTTGTATTAAAGAGTTTACCTTAATGAGTACCAGAGAGAAAAACGGATTTCTATCAGTAATGATTCTTTATTATGGTGGAAAGTGAATACAAAATTTCAATCCCTTAACTCAATTGTCCGCCAATATTTGTCATCTCCACCAAGCTCAGTAGCAAACGAAGAACTTTTCAGTGGTGCTGGCCTTATCTATGACTCGTTGAGAAATAGATTAGACGGAGATAAAGCTGCGAAGCTTTTGTTTATTAAATATAATTTGCTTCTTTTGGAGTCACTTCATTTTATTTAACTTTTTTTACTTAACTTTATTGCTAGTAGGTACTGATTAAGATTTCGATTGTTTTTATTTTTAATACCTAGTTATACACCTACTTGTATTATTTTTTGAACTGATAATAAGAATATAACTACCGAATAATGTGTATAATTTTCTACCTACTTCAAAAAGGAGGAGTTACTCAATTCGACTGTATATTTTTTTGTGTGTTACCTCATAACTTTTTTCTGGTTGAACTGATTTCGATGATTCTCTTTTTATTTATAAGCTGGTGCATCTCATGTTGTCCCATATAAATTTGATCAATTTCTGTCCAAAAGGTTTTTAGTTATTCTTAATGATATAAATTAAGTTGGTTGTACAAAATTTTTAATTTTTTTTATATTATGTTTTATTAGACCTGCCCTAAACACATATCTCATCTTTCGGTTCCACCTTCGTTTCCGGTTCCGATAAACAAAACTTAAAAACTCCGCTTCCGAATTCGGTTCCGATATAACCACTTCCGTAACATCCCTACTTTACACTAACAAAAAGCCTGACAGGCCGGACACAAAAATTTGGCCGGACACAACCCGAAAAACCCAAACATGTTTGGCATTGATGGCAACTCTACTTACAAATCCTGTTGATATAGTTGAATACAATGTGCTAATATAAACAATGTAATTTAAAGTTACATACTCTTCAAAAAATCTACTTGTCATCCAGGTTAATTTATTAGCTTTATAGATGACTGGGAGTTGTTTAATATTCTTAAATCTCTGCAGATTTGCTGATTTGCCAATTACCGGCAGCTTCCTGTTTTCTGTGCCATTTATATTAGGAGCTACAAGCACTGTAATACACTTTTTGGAGAGTTAGTTCAATTTCAAAGTATTATCGGGTGGTCTCCTAGTGAACATTTTTACTGAATCCTTTTCTGCGACCACTCTATTAGCTATTTCTGCTACCAAATTTTACTAAATACATATGACACTATATAAGAAACTTATCACCAAAACAGAATTTATAAAATGTTTGTCTGTCTGTTTGTTCTGGCTAATCTCCAAACCGGCTGGACCGATTTTGACGGGACTTTCACTGACAGATAGCTAATGTTATAATAACTTAGACTACTTTTATTTTAGTATAAAATAATTGGGGTTCCGTGCAAAAAAAATTAAAACTCATAATATCCAATCGTAATAAATTCCACGCAGGCATGTAAATGTAGCTTCATCTCCCGTCTAACAGCCATGAGATTAAGAGTGTGAGAGTTTTTGTGTTCTTCTGCGGTGGGTCTTGCAAAACTTAGCTCCGACCGCATGGACAGTTTCCACGAGCTTGTCATTCATATCGTCCACTGCATTGTAATCATCTAGGCACTGAAAACGATTTTGTAACTCGAGCTGAAAGGTTTCGGGACTTTGGAACAGAGCATGAGGGGGACAGAGCGTTGACTTCATTAGATTAGATGCGTAGGTTCAGTGTGCCTCTGACCATTCGGTGATCGCTACCAGTTTTCACATCGCGATCACTGAGACATCACTGAACAGTTGTCGTCTGGTTGTCATAATGAAGTCAATCTCATTTTTTGTCGAACCGTCATGTGGCCGTACGTGACAGTATGAATGTAAACAATGAATATTTTATTCAATTTAATTGAATGTATTTGTAATACATATTATTTGCAAATTATAGTTTCTGCACTCCCTTTTGTAAACATTAACTATGTCACACTTTTACGTATGTAGAATATGCTTAAAAATTGGTACAAAGTTTTCTATTCACATATTAATATGTAGATGTATAAATTATTATCCTGATAATTATTTTTTTTGTTTACAGGAATGATGTTGCTGTTATGACAGATCCAGTTGTATGTATATTTTTTTTAACATTAAAGTGATAAATATGCTAGGAGTCTATGTGTTGCTATGTGCACCTGCCATCCACTTCAACTAAAGAATGTTATATAGTTCAGGTCACCTCTGATAACTAAGGTGGAATATTTCATAACTTTTTTATATTAATTCTTCTTTTGTATTTATATATAGCCTGTTTACATTATACATCATCATCGTTATTACAGTCTATCAAAGTCTACTGATAAACATCGACCTCTGCCATAGATTGTCTACCTGCGGGAATTTGCCATAGTTGAAATGCTTGACAGGCGCATTAGCAACACTAGTTTTGTATTGAGTTGTTTTCAGAAAAATACTGCTGTATCAGCAGTTATAGCATTTGATGTTGTCGAAAAAGCCGACATAATAAATTGCTAGGGTTGTCACAACCGGAAGTAATAAAAAAAATTAAAACTGATTTTATTTTATTTCATGTTTAGACATTCATTATCTTTAAATGAGCACGAACCACAGTTTTTTACCGCACATGTAGTGTGAAGTTTATTTGCGTGACAGAATTTTTTTTTTATAGGTGACTAACGAGCACATAGTCCAACTGATGGTAAGTGGTTGCTGTGGCCCATAGACATCTACATTTATCCTCGTTTGCGAATCAAAATGCAGATGCGTTGTCACCCGTGAGGACTAAGATATTCTGGAGAAGAGGTATTCTACCTCTTTTCCAGTAAAAAGGGTCTCCGGTTCTCTACACTCACCATACGAAACACAGCAGCATGAAGCTGCTTTTTGACGCTGGTATTCTGTGAGAGCGTGGTCCTTCCCCGGACGAGCCGACCCATTCGTGCTACAACTATGCTACTAATATAGCTGCAGCATGGCTCTACCACGTAAAAATACTAGCCTGGGGAACTGCTAAGTGCCGCTTGCTCTGCCGCAGTCCTCAGCCCGCGTCTTGCCCCGCACCGCACGATTGTCCCGTCTAGACGCCTTCGATGACCGACTGTTAGTAGTAGTTAGACCGTATAAGTAGCGGCGCGAAAGTCTAGCGGTGACCGTTATTGCGCATTAGTCGCGCTAATTGGCTCGTGCGTATCGTTTGCACGCGCTGATTGGCTCTCCAGTCGCATTTGTGCAATTGAATTCATGCGCGTCCCCTCCAAGTTTCGTTCAGCGCTAGACTTACGTACTTGCCCATATTATCATCTCGTTGGTACAAGTCGCAGCACGTAGCGACTTGTACCAACGAGATGATAATATGGGCAAGTGGATTCTCTTACGCCGCCACTACACTGACTTGCACAAAATTTTCTAATATGAATGAAATGAATAATAAGAATAAACCCACTTTTATTATGTAAAATGTTTATTTGATTAATATGTTTTCAGGTTCCAACTCATACCACAATAATAAAGAAATGGTATGTATATTTTGAATATTTTATGACAATCGCTACATATTTTATTAGTCACAGTTTTCTTCAGTTTACTATGAATATTTCATAAGCCATCCAGATAATGCAAGTTATTATGATATTTATACAAGTCATGCGATATTTCCCTTTACTCAACTTTTGTGATAAATGGAATGCCGTAGTATCAATTTTTAAGAGCAATAAAAATTCACATTTCAACATAATATGTATTTGTGTTCATATTACATAATATGTAGTTGTGTAATAATATGATTAACTTAAACATATTTAATATTAGGTATTATGTAATATAACTTACTTACTTACTTACTTATCTTCACGCACAATCCCTGACGGGGTAGCCAGAGAGAACAGATCGCCAAGTGTCACGATCCTCACACACCTCTTTCGCTTCTTTCAGATTCATTATCTTCTTCATACATGCACGTCTAGGTATCCGAGTACTCTTGACCCTCCCCTCTTCGAGCAATTTGCTCACATGGTCTTCGAAAGTTAGTCTCTGTCTACCTCGACACCTTTTAATATTTACTTTCGCGCTATATATTTTCTTCACCATTCGGTCTTCACTCATTCGCTCAACGTGCCCAAACCATCGAAGCACGCCCTTATCAATTTTGGTGATAAGGTCATCTTTCAAACCTAAATATTGCGAATCTCTTCGTTTCGCTTTCGGTCGGCTATGGTAACGCCGCACATTTTACGAAGAGATCGCATCTCCACTGCATTCAACTTACTTTTATGCTTCTTCTGGCATACCCAGGTTTCGCTGCCATATAACAAAGTCGGTAGCAACAATAATATAAAAATAATATAAATATAAATAATATAGTAATATAAAAAACTGTTAATATAATTTCACGGTTTTAATCATCTCAATTTTAATGAATATTTACAGTAAGTGCAAGTTCGGTAACCAAAAAAAGAGTAGTACAAATTACAAAAGAAAACCCGATTCAGAAAAGTTAAAGCGTGGACCCAAGCCAAAGCCAAAACAAGAGCACTCTTGTTATCAGTGTAGGAAGCAATTTCGATGTCAAGCTCAATTGGAAATGCATATAAGGTAAATATTTGCTACGGGATATACAGGATTCTTTTTAAAGAGTAGCCAAAGAACAATGGCAGAAAAATAATTGACAAAAATTATCGCGTCTAGAAATAAGTTATATATAATATGAGTTTTATTGTTTTTCTATGATTTTTCAAATAAAAATGTATTTTAATTAAAGCCACAGAAATAAACAAACATTTTTGGGAATATCAAATGACTTAAATCATTTTACTCTATTCAAGTGTTGCCATTTAGTATATTCATACTATTTTCGTATACACTTTGTAAGACTACCAACACAACACACAAAATATTTTTATATTAATAATAATAATAAGATGTATTTATTGCCACACCATAATAAGTTTACAAATGAAAACAAAGTAAATATACAAATAAAAAATTATTAGACTTAAAAATTCTATAAAAAAATGAACATTCACAATTAACAGATTAACTACTCAGTATCAGTATACGATTATAATGTGAGGCAACGGGCACAGGCTCAGTATTCACTGGGCATTATGCTGTTTTGGGTATATTTTGGTCGCACGCACATCGTACTTAATTATGTATTATTGGTAAACCTCTTTACAGTCAATATGTGTTAGATAATAATACTTTATTACAGAATTAACATACAGCCTTTCGGCCTAAAAAGACTTCTGTTTATGAAATTACTCCTTTTTAACACTTTTTTTAAATGTTGCAAACGTAATATTAAGTTATTATTAGTAATAACTATACTATCAGTAATAATAAAAATAAAAGTGATGTGGTTAAGAATAAGTATAATACAAAGAACTTCCAACAATAATACATTATCTCAATCATAGTATTATGTAACAATTCCATTTAATGTTATGGCAACACTAGCTAAAACAAAATGTCTCTGTTTTTTTTACTGGCTTTATGGCTCTTTGTTCTAGCCCTTCTGAGAATGTCACTATGACACAAAGGCCCTGGAGCCATGCCAGAAATATACATTTTATAGTATGCAAATATATAATAGTGATACAATAATCTAAAAACTCCCAGTTATGTATTATGTATTAAGCTAACATCAAACAACCACAGGAAGCATGACATTTTCCAAGTGACATAAGACATAATCTAAAAAGGTTCAAATCTAAATATCTTTTTTTGACGCCTTCTCAGGACAAAATTCTTTGACAGAGTTATTAAGGGACTGAGGCTTAACATTTTAAGATATTTTTGATGTATAGACGCTACCATTTCTTCTCAACTAATTTTATGTATGAAAATCTGCCATTGTTCTTTTAAACTCAAGTTTAAATAAATAAATTATATATATATATATATATATATATATACAGGGTATTTTTGGAACGCTCCCGAAAACTAAGACAGGCGACAGCACCAAGTATACCTTTGATCATGGGTCACAAATAAATTTGATCCTGATGAAAAAAAAATCATATTTTTACAACGTTTTATTAGCTTTATTCACGCGCCATCATGTTAGTACTGTGATATAGGAACTATGTAAATGAAAAAGAGGCGTGTTGCTGCTTCTATAACTTTAATTAGACTGTTCTTATTCTACCTTAACACTAATATATATAGTCGTGGGGCTATACTACACTACACCTCCCACCAACAAGAAAATGAAAAATAAATGAATACATTTGTTTTTTTTTTTAACTTATAAAAATAAATATAAAATATGTTTATTATTAATAAAAATTACAAAAATTCAATGTAATTATATATTATTTGATCTAAATATAAATTACAAAAATAAAATATAGGTATATTCTATGGGTAGTTCGGGTGGCCAGATCCCTCTACCCCATAGTAATTTCAAGGTCACAATAGAATTGGTATGATATATCGCATACATACAACATACTTATTTGACATAATTAGGTAATTCGCGAAGTTCTAGTTTATTAGTATTACATTCATTTATATTTTAAAATACTCTGCTCTTATACATTTATTCATACTTTTCATCTCATGCTTTATTTTCGATTGTTAGGCCTTTTATTACCTTTTTTTTATAATTCTTGTACGTACTTTTTTTCTTGACTTTTTTTTGACTTTTAACTAGCTTTGTTTCTCTCTATTCACTTATATATTTATTTATTATTTAGATACCGGGAATCAGAGTATTAATTCATTTCATTTATATTTTATTTCGTGACATTTATCACGCGGGTACTTTATAAATTAGGACCCCCATTTATTTGGGTATTATATTACATTTTCACTACATTTATTTCATTTTATTGGTACATAAACTTTTTTTTTTCATACTATATGAAGGTAAAAGTGTACCTTGGGTTGTACGCACAACCTCGAGGTCAACTTTTAAGTCATTTTAAAAGGACTCCAACAATTGTCACGGAGGAAAACTAAGTTCACACTATGATCCAATGAAGGATATGACCTCTATGTACCATCATTAAGAGTAACAAATTTAAGACTTCTCTGGTCCCCAACAGTACTAATATGAGTAAACTCGTTCACATCACTTGTACTGAAGGTATTGTTCTCTAGTACCCGTTACACCCGATTTTATCATCCAATCATGGAAACATACCCTGCTCGAGGACTATATGCCTTACCAGTGATGGACGTTCCCGTATCTCTCCATTATTTATTTGTCAAGGTCAACTTTTGTTTTATTTTTGTTTATTTCTTTACATTTATAGTATTTATTAACCATTTTTTAATTAAACCATAATTTTCACGTACACGGCTCGCGTACATACATGATTAATATTATGGATAATATTCCTATACAATTCATAATAAATTCTAATTTCCTCATTAACAACTTATTCCGTATTTAATAGTGTCAGAACCACCTTAAAAATTAATCGGTTATTAGGTTTTCCAAACTCTCAGCTGATCAAGCTGATTGTATGTGGATATGCTAACTTCCGATAATTTTTCTTTACCTTACTCTCACACTTAGGTACACACTATTAATATTTTTCATTTATAATTACGTAATCCGTAACTTAGTATAATAAAAGACTCTCCGATTACTGCTTACACTTTTATTCGTCTTGAGGCTTTAGTTTAAACTCTATATATTATACATTTATTTGGTCTTAAGGGGCTACTCCATGCGAACGACCTTGAGCATTTGACCTAAGCGTAGCTGTAGCGAGCGGCTCGCCGGAAGAAATATTTAAGACGCCACCTATTGTACGAAAGTAGTATTATTTTTTCAACATCAATAAACTATTTTATGGAAATACACATAGCGTACAAAGATAAATGTATTTTAATTTTTTTATTCTGTATATATTAGTTGCATTATATTAGAATTATGTATTTTCATATATTATCTAATTATGAAATTTTATAATTAATTATATATTAAAACTGAAGCATTGAAAATTGTGAGTTTAAAAGATACCTATTCACTATAGGTAAATAAATAGATAGCTCGGCTTTTGTACAAATATTTGGTGCAATAAAAAATAAATAAATAAATAGGATGTTTCGCATATATGTTTTTGATTATTGTTAATTTTTACGTGTCACGTATTGAAAAGTTACCTACTAATTTTTGAACTGAGCACCTTGTAACTTAGCCTGCTTATTACTTATGCTAGCAGATATTATCCTCACCCCAATGATTGATGAGGATGAAAATCAATTTTATTTCTACATACGTAATTATATTTATTTATACATAAGGGTAACTTTAATAAAGGTAATACAAAAATCAACAAGAAGTATAAGGGTTCAATCTTTCAATTTCAGTTGTAAGAAAACGTTACCCCCACACTAGGATTTTCTCCTGTGTCGTGGAGGCAGTTTACAAAAATAAATATTGCACAAAGACAAACATCCAGACCCGGAACAATTATTTGTAGGCCATACAAATACTTGTTCCATGCGGGATTCGAACCCGCGGCCCCCAGCGCAACAACTGATTGCTAAGCCACTGCGCCACCATGAAGCTAATACAAAAACTAACTTTGTATTTGCTTCATGGTCGCCGGGTTATAGCTAAAGTGACCATACGTCCCGTTTTGAACGGGACTGTCCCTTTTCTCGGTCTCCTGTCCCATTGTCCCCAAACAAAGCTCCGGGACACAAAATTGTCCCGTAACTCGTTGGATGGAAGTATTCAAAGTCAACAATCTTCAACATAGTTTTTTTTAATCGAATATATTTTATGTCTACCTGGTACGAATGCTCCGGTAGAAAGAGTATTTTTTTATTTTGCATAAATTGTGGACGTCTGAAAGAAACACTTACGGTTCCAGAGTTCTAAAGGCGATGTTGTTAACAAAGATAACAATAAAAAACTTGAGCAGAATTTTATTCTTATTTAAAATCATCACCAACTTTATTACAGCAAATTTAATCCACTGACAAATGTAATTAATAATTAAAAAAAATATGTTGCATTTAATAATTACCGTCTATACCGAATATAATTTTATAGTGAACACTAATTGTATAAAGTTATAGTTTTTAGAGTATAAATAAACCCATGTCCTGTTATGAGTTAAAAAATAAATGGTCAGTTTAGTCTTTTTAGTTAAATTTAGTTTTAAAAATTTTTAGTTTATAGTAAAAAGTAGGTATATTAGTACTTTTTACCGAATTATAAGTATAGAACACCTTATGTACTCAATTATTTTTTGAAAAAGAAGAAAAAACAAGCAATAAATAATATACTATATTTTAGCAAAAAACTATAACTTAGTAATACTAATTATAACTTAGAACATAAATGAAAAACTCATAACTGACTTTTTGGCCCGACCCAGGATTCGAACCCGGGACCTCATGATCAGCAGTCGCACTACTACAATCACTAGACCAACGAGGCAGCACTATACCTGATAAGATATTGTGGTTGGGTGATAATATTGAATTAGCCTTTTATAGTGTAAATTATAATATTTGTCGAAATTTTAATTATGGATTCGAACCTTACATGCTAATGGTGCTTCATTTTTTTATTTGCATTTACTTCAAAGAAAATACACGCAAAAAGCTTCATCGCGCAGTAAAAAGCACAACAAATATATGTATAACTAATACGAAAAATTATACCCAAAACAAACAAATAATACTACCTATAAATAACCTAATAAGTAATAATATTATCGACTCATATGACGTGGCGTATGCGTTGGTCGACGCTCTAACGACACGGGCTTCACGTCGAAGAGCTCAGCGCTCACTGACTTCACCAAGCCCGTGAGCAGTAAATATGCCCAGATTTTAAAATAATTTCTTAATAAAATCAAATATTGGTCTTTTGAAAAAAAATTTACTATAGAAATGTTCATTAATAAATTGCCTATCCATTGGTGTAAATCGCAAAATAAAATAATACTTACTTTACGAGGAGATGCATGTTATCAATAATAATTTCACATTTATGTGGTTTCGTTGTAAGGAGATTATATTAATATTTATTCCTTTAAAAAAAAATTGGATATAGCTTTTATGGAATCAAGATTATGTAGAAATATAATGTGTTTTTTATTTGTTGATATATCTTTTAAATAAAAAGTAGATAGCTTCTAAAAACTGCCCAAATAACGACTGGCGCGACATTTTGCTCAACCTGCGCCTTAATCTATGTTTCGTCACTAACCCAACCGTCTCCCACGGCTGTCTGCCACTTTATGCCCTTTTGCTTCGTGCAACTGACCACATCCCCTCTCTTACTGTAGTGTTGTGCCATTCTAATTAAGTTAATTTACCAATAAAATGTCAATTGCTTAAACAGAAACTATACTCTTAGAAAATTAATTAAGTGAAAACCTAACATTCGTCCATGCTGACTTCGTGCATGTCCTCATGCACGGTTGAAAAGAAACCTAACATTCGGTCAGATGCACGAGGCCTACAGATAATTTCACAGTATTAAAACAATAAGATAAAACTTACATTAGGTACATATTATTATTTCTTACTAATTAGCTTAATCAAAACAATCGGACATTGCTATAATCTTATGGTACATTCAGAATATAAGTTTAACAATAGCTTTTGGTATGTACTTAATATATTGCTCTTTGGACCCATCAATTCCCATTGAGCAAGTAAAACATAACTTCGCAGTTTTTTTTTTTGTTAATCCATTACAATTTTCAAATGATTCCCATTAGTAAATCCATCCATTCTTACGAACGGGACACATTTGACAAGCGAACACAGTGCAGAACACTTTACTTGCCCGATTACAAACCCATCCATTCTCATAACCGGCAGAAGTAAAACGATAAACTGTGAACCCATCCATTCTCACAGATATCTATGCTCAACACCCATGTCGCTAAATCTTAATCATAACAATATTTGTCCATCCATTCTCATAACCGGCACAAGTAAAACGATTAACTGTGAACCCATCCATTCTCACAGATATCAATGCTTAACACATGTCGCTAAATCTTAATCATAACAATCCTTGTTTTTTTTTTATTTGTCTATCTATCCAAATGTACGTCGTAACTTAACATAACATATTTTGTAACAAAATATTTACCATGAATGTGAAACTTAGAAGGGTACTTAGGTAGAAAAATTGTTAATAAAATTGTTCACAACAGGTCCATTTACGACATTTTTGATGTAATTTTACAAAATAAAATAAAAATTTAAAATAAATAAATAAAATAATTTCTTGGTTTTATTATTTATCACTATTACTATAATCTATATATATCCTCATTACCACCATCATTAGACGTATCGGATTCATTAACATCTAAAGCGGCAAAATTGACCCAAGGCGACATTTGGTCAGCGGCTACAGCTGTTTGTCGTTTGTTCTTGGTACCCGTTCGTCCCGGAATAGTTGCTACCCTATATCTATAATTTCCCAATACTGATATTACCTAATATGGGCCTATGTATGAAAGAAGAAGTTTCCTACTCTTTCCGTCATTTGTAAAAGTCATTTTCGTTATTTTAACTAACCTTCGGCATAAACCTTGGCCGGACGTCATCCTCTATTGAAGCTAAATTTTTGTTTCTCTTGTTGAGTATCAATAGAGTCTTTAATTTCTTTTTTTTTTCTTATGGTGGCTAGATCGTTTATTTCTCGAGTTTCTTGACGAACTATAATAAACTTAGAATTTGGGTTTGAGTTTGATATACGCAAGGTTTTATGAACAGGGCCGCTCATTGGCATTAATAACAGCGAAACAATTTTCTGTTTTATGGCCCATTCTATCGCATTTACCGCACTTTATAATAGGCTTGGGGCATTTTAAGAATGGATGACCCTTTTCCTTGCAGTTATAACAATATATATTATTATTTTGGATAAGGTTATTTTTATTTGTTAATCTATTATTATTATTAACGCTAATAACATCTGTATTTACACCAGACCTAAAGTTGTTATAAGTTCGTTCAAAAGGTTGATTGAGTTCTTTATTACTCATTAAAAATCGGAGCAACTGTTCCGGTTGTAAACAACGTAATGTGGTAGCACTTGATTTAATAGTTTTGTCCGTTAACCCGTGTATAATGCAATCGACAGCGCGCTTTCCTTCGATGTCACATTGGTTCAAAAGTGCCAATTTCTCATAATAATACACTTCAATAGGTTCGTTAAACTTGCTCTTTCGTTTCAACATATCTTCCAGAGCTTGGCCATAGTTATATTCATATGGAAAAGCATTTATTAACCTATCTTGCCACTCATTCCAATTAAAAAGAATTGAAGGTAAACTCTCGTACCAGGTCTTGGCCAAACCCTGGAGCTTTTGCATGGCGTAATGGATTGTTGTTTTGTCGTCCCAGCCGTAGACTGTTGCACATTCATTTACTTTTTTTAACCACATATCTATTCGTTGATTTTTCGACGTTGGATCAAAATCAGGTAAAATATTTTTATAGCTACTTGAATTAATAGGTGCAACCGGGGCGGACGTCGACGGCTGTGACTTTAAGTGATTTAAGAATATTAGTTACATCTTTAGTTGAGAACGAGGGACTGAAAGATCGTTGGCCTTGTTCTAGAATTCGCCTTCTTTTGGGACGGTCATCCACCCCTTGGTCAAGCGCCCTACTTCTAGAACGAACATTACGTCCAGTACTTGTATCACGCCCAGAAATATGGGAATCATGACGTTCGAAATCGTTATTTTTACTCACACTGCGTAGCCTCCTACTACGTTCCATAATCAGGTCGTTCTGGAGATTGTGTAGCCGGTCCCGTTCGCGAGCGAGGTCTCGTTCTACTACACGAAGTCGCTCACGTTCGTTAAAACTCCTAATACTGTCACAGCGGGTGCGGCTACGTCTGCTTCTGGTCCTATCATCATCCCTTCGTTGTCGGGACTCCCCACGATTTGGAGTCTCCAGACGACGAGGTTGCGATTTATCTTCCCTCTGCATTTTTTCTGCAACTCACAAACAAAAGCAACTATGAATACATTCAATGACTTGAAACTTTTCTTAAGTAGGTATCTCGAAAACGGCCTATGTTATCTAAAAATTAACAAAATTTTTGTTACTCCTTTTATCCCAGCATCGCAGCGGTATCTAGCATTGGGTAGTCTTAATTGGATTGGCATAACACGTTAGGTAGCGCCATTGTCACATTTGACCTACACTTTTAATTTTATTAATAACTAATTTACTTTATTAATACGTTACCATAAGAAGAAGTACAATAATGTCCTCTTTGTTTAACTACCACTGGTTTGAAGTAAAACTTCTGTCCTGGTAAGAACCAGCAAGAAAGCATAAAAATATAAGAAGAACCCAATAATTACCGAAATAAGTAAAACAAATGAACAAATAATAACATAATTTAAAACCTGCTAACAAAAACGGCTTTGTCGCACGGCATTTGTTTAAAACATTTAATGTTATTCACGACTGTTCCCTTATGTTACAAAAGGTTTAAGTTACAGTTCTTTAAAGCTGATAAGATTGTCGATAAGTAGAAACAATAACATTTGGATGTTTATTTAGTTTTGTACAGCTCTTTGTTTCTAAGGGATCTTGAAAAAGTGTATTTACTGCCAATAAATTTGGTTTTAGGAATGAAAAAGCGTATGATTTTATTTTATTTTTATGTCATCATAATCTGTATAACACGCTCTTCTTAAAATGAACCGAAATGATGTATGTAATCATTAAAATAGTTCTACTTCTTTATCCGCAAACATTTGCTAAAAATTCTACAGGAGACAGTTTGCGCGAGCCTCCTTGTAACCTCATTTTCAAAACCTTTTTGTGAAAATATTACAGCGTCTTCTTTATTTTTTTTATATACAGTTATATAGATAAAACATTTTGAAATAATATTTTTATGAATATACACGCAATAAACTATCTATAAAAGGCTAAATATCTCAGAAGGTAGATCTATTTGAAATTTTGACCGTTATAAATTGTTGGTGTATGTTGGTGTTTTGTTTATCTTTTTTTTTATCAATTGAAACACAAAAATTTTCTGTTGTTGTAACTTAAATCATTCTAAAACATTATCTAGCAAAAATAATTAACATTTTTTTTTACCAGTTTCTGAAAGAAAATCCAACAAAAATCATAAATACAAAAAGAAAACAATTCGCAACTAACATCACCAACAACGCGAAAGTGAATGCCAATTTTTTTTTTAATTTTGTCTATGTAACCAAGTGAGCTTAATACTTGAGAATACTTTTTACTTCGTTCAGAATTGAATAAAATAGTTTCTAATTGAAAATATACTGTCGTTCTATATTTATTAAGACGAAAATAACAGCGCGGTATAGCTGTATGAATTGGTTCCCCCGGTACTCAACGGGTTAAAGCCTAGGACCATTTAATCATAAACGAGTCAATAAAATTGTTTACAATAAAACTTTTTTTTTTTATCGGAACATATACTTACAGGTATAATAAAAGAAACGGGTACTTACCACTTCTGAAGTATAATAAAAGACTCTCCGATTACTGCTTACACTTTTATTCGTCCTGAGGCTTTAGTTTAAACTCTATATATTATACATTTATTTGGTCTTAATCTATGTTTCGTCACTAACCCAACCGTCTCCCACGGCTGTCTGCCACTTTATGCCCTTTTGCTTCGTGCAACTGACCACATCCCCTCTCTTACTGTAGTGTTGTGCCATTCTAATTAAGTTAATTTACCAATAAAATGTCAATTGCTTAAACAGAAACTATACTCTTAGAAAATTAATTAAGTGAAAACCTAACATTAGCCAAACATTTATTCACATCTTTTACAAATTTATATCATATAATAGTCTCGTATAATATTTAGTTACATCGTTGTCGGTCAGGGATTGAGGCTCACAATATGGGTACAATAAAATTTAAATTAATTAATTGTATACATAATATAATGAGTATCAAAATCGAATTAAACGAAGTAATTATTTTCATAATCCACACAAATAGGTTAGATAGTCAATCTATTATCCCAAAAATAATGAATTATAATAGTTAAAACTTTATGATATGAAAGTTTAATCAATATTAAATAAAAAAAAATTTATTGCATTTCATATTAAGATATAGAACAAAGAAGTCAAAGCAACGTAGTTTTCAATAACAATAACATGATCGCATAACGACAGACAGATCAAAATACAAATTGTAATCCCACTCTTAGCAGCGCAAGCGATTTGAGACACCTTTGTTTTAATTAACAAAGTACGTATATGACAACGTTTGCGATTACATCGTATTATGATCACCTAATTTAAACGTAACTTATACAATGTTATTATTACATACATAATATGTGGATACAAGTAAATTGATAGTATTAAATTCCTTATTTACACAGAATTTTAGACACATTACTTTTGCTTGGATCGAAAAAGATTTCTAGAAGTATGGTATTTACTATATCGTTTACAGAAAATAATTTAATAATCACTGTAACACATATCAACTTTACACAACAAAACATTAATTTATTTAAGCATTAAAAAGACCAATTTTAATTTTTAAGTAGGTTTATGTATATAAGCATAACTTAAAGGTTCACTGCCTTTATAAAAGAAAAGAAAAACTAATACTTATTAATACCGAATTGTTTTAAACCCTTTTCGAATTGAATTAAAACATTTAAATAAAATTTACTATAGAAAAAAAAACAACGAAATATATCATATTTAACAATATATCAGTATTATTTTAATTATAGGAAAAATTAATTTATGGTAAACTATGGTAAATCTAAGTACGTAAAAATGTAATCTACTATATTATTTCATTCGTTTTTGTATTGTATCCTGCACAGTTATAAAAATAATATAAAACAATAAACAATAACTAAATAAAATTTAATATAAAAGTGTCTTGTGCCTTAATACAAATGCCTTAAGTGCCTAAAATGTAATGTGCTTTTTTGATATTGTATTATGATTACATTTTTTATGTATATAAATAGTGATAAAAATATTGAAAAATCAATTGTAACGTGAGTTATCTGATAAATAAGTTCAATTTAAACATTCGTGTATTAAATATAGAATATTTAATACTTAACTTTTAACAAATATTATAGCAAAAAAATATAAAAACAATCTCAAATTGATAAATAAAGTTTTAAATGGAATTAAAATCACACAGGTGCGAAGTTACCTCTTAATTTTCTTCTTTGTTCTTCTGGACGAAGCTTGCAAGAGTACAACCGCTGCTTTCCTTTTCAAATAAACCTGCCATTTCTTTGCCGGTAAAAAAAAAACACTTTTTATTTTCCTCATTCTTTCTTAGTTGCTTTCATAGTAGGTACAATTATACATTTAAATTATATTACTTCATGTTCATTATACTTTTTATATTTCAATCAGCTTCTGTAAAATTATTATTGTGGCCTCTTCTTGTATTCATGTTTATTTATTTTTTTTCGTCACATCCGGGTATATATTCCGTGTAGTCCGGGAAATATTTATATTATTTTCAACAATTATTGCAGGCCGTGGCGGTGCGCGTGCATTGTAGCAGCGCACCGCCTGGCAGGGTCGCCATGTGATATAGGAAGTGTGTCAATGAAATAGAGGCGTGTTGCTGCTTCTATAACTTTAATTAGACTGTTCTTATTCTACCTTAACACTAATATATATAGTCGTGGGGCTATACTACACTACATCATGTTAGTACAGCTAAATGAATCGATAATTTCATAAAAAAAATCACGAAAATACTGAAACATAAAACCAGCAGTGGAAACTGAATTGATATCACCTGACTAATGGAGGTTAATGTACGCGCGAACGGTGAAAAAAGAACGCTGGCCTTGAACTTGGGCACTGAGCGATTTATCACATATAGGTACGAAGGGGCGCGACGGGGGAACAATCCGCCAGTATTACTGTGCCTGCATGCTATTGGTTCCCGCGCTTTGTTCGCTCCAAAAATACAGTCGCATACACAGCTTACTTTGCGACTCGCGACGATGTTTTAAAAAGGAAGGAAACAAAAATTATTTATATCTATTGTTTTATGACTAAACTAGTGAACGAAAAGGTAAATATGATAGGAGAAGGTGAATGGGGAAAATTGTGCAGTAAAGTGTTGAGGGAGAATACCGAAAAAATTACCATGTGATCGACCTGATGACGGAAGCTCAAGCGAAGATGAAAGTGATGATGACTTTCATGTGACCCAAGACGTCATAATGGACGGCGTGTCACCCTTAGCTTAAGTTTTTTTTGTTACAAACTACTTTATATTTTACGATAGAAATAACAAATAATGCTCAAGTAAACATTATCCATTTTTAATTCCCACCTCTTCCAAAGTTCTAAGTAAATAGTAAAACACCAATTATGATTCTACAATTAAACAATTAATTACTATAATATTATAAAACAATAGCCCAATACCATGTAGTACTTTAGAACGCGACTGTACCCACACTCTCTCCGCTGTCGACCTGTATCTAGCTCGGTACGAAACAATGCTGCTGTCGTAAGAAAAAAGGGCGCATCTAACAATTTTTGAATAAATGATTTAAATATACCATGGACTCATGATAAGAAGGCGCATCTACTAAATTTTTTTAATATTCACAAATATCAATATTTTCGAAATTATCGTAAGAATTTTAGACGTAACTGTTGATCACAGATAACATCTTTTTATTAGAAAAGACTTATACAAATTCAACATAAAAGAAAAGACTTATTTAACCAGTGGCTACGTCATCTTTAACAATATTTGCATCGATTACTTAAATTTCAATTATTCTTGTCTTTTTATTCTATATCTTATTATTAAGAGCGTATATCTTATTACTAAGAGCTGGTGTTTCACATGTGGTCCCATATAAATTTGATCGAGGTCAGACCAATAGTTTTTGAGTCATCCTTAATTATTTATATTAAAGTCGGTTGTACAAAATTTTTAATTTTTAATTATTATCGTAGTAAGTCTTGTATGATATCCCCTTTAAAATCATTACTCAAGAGTTGCGGGTTGTTATTTTTTGTGTCTGACTACCAATGCTTTTCTAATATTTACTAAGAAAAAAGTAGTAAATTACTATTAGCGTCCTTTCAACTTCAAATGACCTTTCCAAAATATGTAAAAATGTTAAATGAATGGCAGTTTTTTTT